GTGCAACCTGGCAGTTGTTTATTTTGCCATTTAAATAGTCCCAAGTGTACTGCTGTCATGCTGTCTAGTTTCTACATGCAAGAAAGCTGAGATGTGCCTCGTGGAGAAATTGGATCAAGTTTGTCAAGGCATGGGTTACAATGTTGTTGGCTCTGAACTTCATGTTAATGAATCAACAATAAATATTTAAAAACATGTCTTTAAATAGAAATAAACACAGGTAAAACAAAGTTATTGATCAGTTGATAAAAATGTGACTAGATGTTCACAGGACCTTAACCCTGTATTTCCACTGGAAACAGTAGTTCGGTATTCATTAATTTTGTTTGTAGTGACTTTATAGAGCTTAACCAGTAATCATCTGCGTTGCTGGACATAGTATGCTGCAGATAAAATTGTGCTCAGGCCTTAAAGGAAGGAAGGACAAGAACTTCATTCACACTGGATATGGTGGCATGTATTTGTAGTCTCGACCCTCCACAGAGGCTGAAGCAGGAGGCTCACATGAACCCAGGAGTTTCAAGGCCAGCATGGGCAACTTAGTGAGACCCTGACCCAAATCAAGAGAAACAACAACAACAACAAAAACTACTTCATTCCATCTGCATAGCACCTTTAACAACAATAGCTGGCATTTACCGAGCTCCTCTTTGTGCCAGCCATTGTGCTTTAACTTGTATTTCCTGATAAGATTCTTTGAAAATTCAATCTGAAGTCTATTGGCATCTCTCTCTCTCTCCGTAAGAGAAGAGGACTGAGGTGCAGAGAAGTTAAGTGACTTACCCATAATCACAAAGCTGGAGGAACTAAAGTTTAGTCCTGAGCTGTCTATCTCTGTTCAGGGTCATACATGTTCATGAGTCTGAGCCTGAGTGGGTCCTCATAAGTCCCCGTTCTCCACTCTCCACACTGACTAACTCTGTTCTCTTATTTTATAGGATTGGACTGACTATGATGAGAAGGCTCAAGAGTCTGTGGGAATCTACGAGGTCACTCACCAGTTTGTGAAGTGCTGAACTCTCTTCCTACACACTTGGTCTTAAGAATAAGAGGAAACAAAGTGCCCCAAGCAGCAGCACTCATAGAGACTGACTCCTTCATCCTTCATCTCCTAGTTGCTGTAGAGAGCCCTCATAACCTGCATGCTGGGGTTTGTCATGGTTCCCAAGTCGCATCAATAAAACCCCTGTTTGTATCACATCAGTGTGTGAGGATAGAGTCAGGAAGCAGACACTATTCCCTCCACAAAGAAGAATTCACACTGAAGGTCTCTGACTGCTTTCTGGCAACTTTCTACAGTTTAAATCCCTGCACTTCCTCCAAATTGCCAAATATGCAGGAATACATAGTTTCCAGGGACTCTCCAGCTCTTAGAAAGTGGGCAGATCAATCCAGAGGATCAAAGGTCTCAAGGCGAGTGGCACAGAGGGCAGGGAAACCTATGGAATGGTGCCACAGGCTTAGCAGTCCTGTGCCAAAGCCCTGCATTGACCAGCTTGGCTCTCGGGTAAACCCGGGCATCTCTGTTAGCTGGAGTCACTTGGCATTCCAGCCCAGCCCACTTCTGGCAAAAGAATTCCTGACT